GCCCCGAGCTGCATGCTGCAGCGAAGTGTACTTGCTCTGCGGCCCAAAGTTAAAAACTGTTGTTCTTTTGAGGCCCTCAAGGTGGCGCTCCCGTAGGTTAAGAATCTGATTTAGCACTAGCCATGGGATTTATCAAACCTGAAAGTGGCTGCACTGCTGTTTTAKCATCTATATTTAGCACATTTGAAAGTAAAATTCAAACTGGCTGCTCTCTGCTCTGCAGTGTCAGTAAATATCCCACTTTACTATAAGAAAAACTATATAACTGCAGCTTAAAACATTTAACATAAACTCTATCTCAGCTGTGGCCTTTTTTTTATTTAATGGTATCATCCAGAGCTGAGACAGAGGAGGTTTTTCTCCAAATGCAGCCTGCATTACAACAATCGCACACTTTTAATGTGACTGTTTGACTTTAAACAGATGAGCGAGCTTATTTTTGTGTGCCTTTCAGTCACCGCTCAGTCATCCCCACAGCACCTGCAGCTGTCCAGTGGACATCTACGTGCTTTGATTATCTGAGCACATGTCAGCCCCCTTTAGACATTTACCTGGATCATAAAAACAGCTGAGTTAATAGGAAGGGAAGGATGAGGAGGAGGGGTCGACCCAATTTTTACAGCCTGCTGGCTCTGAGACTGAAAGTAATTTAAAGGAAAGATTTTGAAAAACACTCTAAGATTGTCCTGTACATCTGTACACAGCAACAACCGCAGTGTTAAACTTTCAGGTTAGTTAGTTGTTCAAGTTTAAATCTGTGTTATTGGTCATAAATGGACACCATGAGAGAGAGAGGTGCTTCCTGGTGTGTGAAGGTCGACTCTGTTGTGATGCTTAAAGAGCTGACCTCAACTCTGAGCCAGAGTTCARTCTGCTSTGTAGCCTAMMGTGTAAAACTTACACTGATCTTACATGTTAGGCTACTAAAAGCAAAATGCACTTTATATGTATTGAAAAASACACTTTAAAGGTGTTAAATATTAAAAGGGCAATATCATGTAAAATCAACTTTTTTGAGTTTTATATCATGTTATAATGTTATACTCTCATAAAAAACATGTTCAAAGCCTTGCTTTGATTCATTCATGCATGTTTGAGAAATCCTGCAGCGTTTTTATGAAGCCATGCTGAGGAGCAAAACGACAGGTGGGGACCAGAAACAGCTTTTGGTACCAGGAATGCCTCTGGGACGTGTCTTTAAGCCAAACTTCCTCATGGCAGA